TGAGCCGTGATTTCAAGATATCTCCTCGCATTGTTGATGATAGAACAGATAAGCTTTGGTACTTCATTGATATGCGTTGCAGTGGCATTTATGATTTCTTGCATAAAATCGACGGAGAATACTTCGCTCATCCATATCGGTGGATTTTATTTGAACCAGACGAAGATCGCTTGGCGAATTTACCATTTCTAACAGATAGCAATGTGATCCTGGTCAACTTCAACTTTGAACTGGAACGATTTGATTTGAAACAAGGTCACTGAAGAACATATTTTTCTAATTTTTTTTAAACACCGCCAAGCTCTGGCTAATGTTCAATATAAAAATGTCATCATTCTCAGTATACAAAACTGATAAAGAGTCACCATTTATACACGAATCGTTTGGATTCTGGAGCATTGGAGATGGCTACATTGACTTACGTGAAACAAGAATACTATCAAGACGCCGACGAGATTTAAGGAGAAAGGTTTTGAAGTCAACATTGATTTTAATGAGAAACGATACGTACAACCATTTGGACGACATAAAGTAAGTTCAACGAATTTTTCTGGCTGTTGGGAAATGTAACAAAGTGTTTGTTCAAAGAGATGCGCACGTTGATTCATTGGCAAAAATGGGATACACCATAACGAATATATTGGTCGAGTCGGTGAATTCATCTGTAGCGTACAATTATGTAGACACCTGGGGCTATGGTGATATGAGATATCCGAAGAAACTGAAAGGGATGATGGGTCATTTAGTGAGACATGAAATTGATATTGGAGGTAAAAAAAACATTGAACCAAATCAAACCAACCATTTTTTGATCGATTTCATTATTTAGGCACAGTTATATTCATAACACCAGAGCGAGTTCCACATATCGAATACCTTTCTGTAACATTACCAAGTCGAGGTGCATTTGTGTTTAGAGCACCGCAGCTGTCGCACATATCCAACATTTACTATTTACCCTTTGCCGGCATGGTTTGGATCTGTGGAATTCTTCTGGTCATCGCCTGTACGACATTGGTTTATACAACGTATGAATTCTCGAAAGGGAATAATCAAAAATTGATGTCATCCGATTTTCTGTTATTTGCAATCAGCACCGTGTGTCAAATGGGGAACAATTTAATTCCGAAGAGAATATCTGGAAAAATTGCAACGGTAAATCTAAGCCAAATTTCCATATTTTACGATCAACATTCTAATTTTTAAAAAATTTGCGTGAAGTTTGTGTTCTCCCTTTCTCTTATCTTCATTTACACATCGTATGCAGCGAATATTGTCGCTCTTCTGCAATCAACATCTTATAATATTCAAACGTTATCCGACTTACTAAACTCCGATATGGAGCTTGCTGTTGAAGACACTCCCTATTCGCGTTTCTTTTTCTCAACCGAAACTGAACCAGTTCGGAAGGATATTTATGAAACAAAAATTGCGCCACCAAATAAACCACCAAATTGGGCGAACGCCAGCTATGGCGTTAGTCGAATGCGAAAGCGTTTTTATGCATTTCATATGGAACTAGGTACTGGATATAAACATGTCAAAGATACATTTTACGAACATGAAAAGTGCGGTCTAATTGAAATAACATATTTACGAGTACTCGATCCATGGCAAGCTATTCCAAAGCATTCGCCGTACAAAGAAATATTTAAAGTAGGGTCAGTATACTGGAAGAAAATATTTTCGGTGAAAAATGCCGTGAAATGACTTTTCAAATCGATTGAAGTAACATTTTAAGCGTTGTTTCAATTTAACATTTTTTTCAGATTATTCAAAATCCGAGAGCATGGAATTCAAGGAGTAGAAAAATCTAGACGATATACAACCCGACCAACTTGCAGCTCACTTGCACATAATTTCGAAAGTATCGGTATAATCGATTGTTATGCAGCATTTCTGGTACTTGTGTATGGGATCGCAGCTGCACTGGGAATACTCTGTCTTGAATTTTTAAGTAACATCAAAGCTAGGCTTCTTCGAAAATAACAGTGAAGCATCCGAAGCACATCAAACGAATGTTTGAAGAAAAAAAAACTGTCATTTATGTTGTAATAAAATGAAATATTTTCACCTTAGCTTGTAGTCACAAAGCCAAGAGCTTGAATTTACTTTGGAATAAATAAACCATACGTTTGTAGTACAGTACTAACAAAATCGAGATGAAAAAAGTCTCATTTCCTATACTCATGCCAATTGGATATAACTCAAGACAGAGTAGAACGTACACTTCGTGGACAAGTCTATTGCATCGAGTCTACATAGACTCTGAGCATATGCTATACTCTGGTTCAAAGTATCGAATCACCTGGTGAATTTAAATACAACTGAACTATGACTAAGTGATTTTGAGCATAATGAATTGCGTATATTTTTTCTTGTTGTTGTGACAAATACCGGTTTCTTCAATCACATCCTCCTTACAAATCTATTTCTTTTATCCAATCATCTTCCGTGTGTTTTAAGGTGAAATCTTATATACGAACTTTTAATAAATGTGCGTCATTCCATTACAATTGAATTTTTTTTAAATTGAACACTGACAGAATTCACCATATTGACATGCAAAATATGTATGGTTTCGATATGTTTGTTGTTAGTTCTTTCGTTGACTTTGTTTCAAAAAGTCGTATTTCTTTCCATTTTTAAAATTCATGTGAAAAATTTGAGTTCTTCACAATGTCCAAGATATTGCTTGTAATTTTGTTAATAGTGGCAGTGGGTCCATTCGTGGAAGTTCTGGCGGACCCTGAACCGGATTTAATTTCAATACTAGGAGATTCTTTTGCCAGTTCTGCTCGATATTTTACAAAAACTGTTGGAAATATTTTGAATATTAAGAATCCTGTCAAGCCAACATTATGCGGCCTGAGAACGGTAAGATTGGGACGTAAAGTTGGTTATCTGAATTTATCTGAATCAAATACAAATATCGTTTTAGAATGAACTCATTGAACATTATGGATATGAAGCTGAAGAACACAAAATAATTACAGAAGATGGTTATATGTTGACAGTGTTTCGTTGTAATTCAAAACGACCTGCATTCAGTAGGAAGAAGGCAGTCATTTTACAACATGGTCTTTTGTCATCGTCCGATGATTACTGTGTCAATATTCCTGAACAGGCATTACGTAAATAGTTTTTTTTTTTGTAGCAAAATATGTTTTTATAGCAATAGTCTTAGATTGTTTTTGCTCATTTGACCGCGTCTACTTTAGCGTACATCTTAGCTGATGCCGGGTATGATATTTGGTTAGAAAATTCTCGTGGGAACATATATTCACGTCAACATATCATCAAAAATCCAGACATGCCGAGTAGTGGCTTTTGGGACTTTTCGTGGTACGAAATGGGCATTTATGATCATCCAGCGGTTATTGACTACATTCTCAAAGAGACTGGAAACGAAAAGTTGTATTTCGTCGGGCACTCGCAAGGAACTACAAGTATCATGGTTTTATTGTCCGAAAAACCGGAATATAATGCGAAAATTTACGCTGCAAGCCTAATGGCACCAGTTGGTTACATGAACAATTCTGATTGGATGCTGCGATCGCTTACTTTAGCTCGCCCATTTTTGGAAGTAAGTAATGCCAATCTCAAATGCTGAAGATCACTTGGGAATTTACAAAATTACCTTTTGAAAACCATTTCAGCTGTACAAGAATATAGAATTTCTCCCAAGAGAAACAGTGATGGGATTGCCGGCCTCATTTTGTGATATCGATTTAACTAACTTCTGTGATAACATGATAAATCTTATATCTGGTCCAAGTGATAGCCAAAGGAATAATGTACGTTAACATTTGATTAAACTATTCGATTAATTCTCATGAAAAAATCTTCACCATAGACAATGTTACCTTCTCTCATTTGCCATACTCCAAGCGGTGCATCAATCAATCAATTTTTACACTATGGTTTGGAAATACGGTACGGATACTTTGGAAAATATATGGAAGGCATGGAAGTTCCAAGTGATTTCGAACTTTGGAGAATTACCACACCAATTTCACTCCATTTTTCACCAGCTGATAAATTAGCCACTTGGCATGATGTACAGAGGTTGATACCTCAACTAAGCAATAGTCTTGCTTACACACAAATTATAAACGAAAAAGACTTCAATCATGTCGATTTCATTTGGGGCATCGACTCGGCCTCGTTGATTTACCCAAAAATCAAATGGTTTTTTGAAAAATTCCAATAAAGTTTTTTTGAAGAAGTTATAGGTGAAGAATTTTATTGGGAATTTTCCTGTTTTCAACACCATTATAAATCAAATAAAGTAACTATCTTATCAGCATCAACGGAAAAAATCTATATATATAAAACTGAATGTTCGTCTGTGTGTGTGTGTGTGTGTGTGTGTGTGTGTGTGTGTGTGTGTAATCATCGGGCTCAAGAGTAATCTTATAAATGCAGTTTTGGTTTTCGAATTAAATTTTTTGGAGTTTGACGAAAAACAATTTTTTCATTGTTTTTCCATATTACATTAATGTGGATTGATGACAATGAAATATTAAACGCGTATTGTTGTAAAAGAGATTTGATTTCATTTAAAAATAAAACGAATTACATACGTAATCCAAACTTTTCCGCTCCGCAGCGATTTAGTTTACCTCCCGCTTAATGTTAACCAAAATTTCAATGGACCCTTTTTTCATAGCATTTTTGACCTTAAAATATAACTATTTCGACCATTTTCCATACAAAAGTGTCATTTTCGAAAAAAAATTCAAAAAATATCAAGAAATGTTGATTTCGGACCAAATTTATGGGCAAGTAGGTGTTC